ATGGTAATGGTGATGGTTTTGATTGTGGTGGTGATGGTGATCATGATGACGATTGCTGAGGCTGTGAGTGGGCCGAGTATGTGATGAGAACGGTAAAGGGTAGGGGGGTGATACTGGTGACGGAAGTGGCGATTGTAGTGGCGACGATGATTGTGATGGGAGCGCCAATGATGATGGTGGCAGTGATGATAGTATTGGTGATGGTGATGACGATGACGGTGGTGATGATGGAGATTGTGCGGGTGGGGGTGATGATGCTGGTGGTGATGATGGTTGTGATGATGATGATGATGATGATGATGATGATGATGATGATGATGATGATGATGATGATGATGATGGTGAGGATGGTGGTGGTGGTGATGACCAGGATGAGATGATGATTCGGATCATGCTCAAGAGGATAAGGCTACTGCTGACGATGGTGGTGATAACGATGCTCTCCGTGATGATGATGGTTGATGGTGGTGATGTTGGCAGTGATTATGATGAGGCTTGTTGCGTTTGTGATGAATGTGATGTAGATGGTGATGATAATGGCGACAGTGATGATGATGCTGCTAGCGGCTACGATGATAATGATGGTGTTATTTGTGATCATGCTGGTCATGTGAACTTCCATGTTGATTCGGATGGTAAATTATGGTGGCTTTCATTGATGGTCGTGATGCTGCCGGTGATGGTGGCGATGATGATGATGATGATGATGATGATGATGATGATGATGATGATGATGATGATGATGCTGATGATGATGATGATGATGATGATGATGATGATGGTGCTGGTGACGATGGTGTCGAGTATGTTGATTATGGTCGTGACGATAGTGGTTGTCATGATGATTGCGATGGTGACGGTGGTGGGTATGACGATGATGAGGGCCGTGGTGGGTGTGGGGATGATGGAGATGGTTTCCGTGATGGTGGTGCTGACAAAGATGGCGATGATGTTGATGATATGACAGTGTTGTCGTTGACGATGGTGGTGGAGGAGGTGACGATGATGGTAATGATGGCGTGTGATGGCATTAAAGTTGAGCGCTTTGATTGGGTGATGTGTGAATGGTGATGATGGTGTCAATGATGGTGGTGATGCAGTTGTGGTGATGAGTATGGTGGTGGTGATGATGAGGAGGACGACGGGGATGACGACGGCAGTGATTGCAGATAGGGCAGTGTCCTAGGAGGGAGGGAGAGGTATATATCTCGGAGTAGGCCGGGGGAGGGCCCAGAACTGCGACCTCTCGTTCGCATGGACGGCCGGGGGGGCCTTGAGGGCTCCAAGAGGGTTCAGAAGGGGCCCCAGACCCCCCCAGAGGCTTCAGGCGCCTCTTAGAGGCGCCTAAAGCGCCCCAGGTTGTCTGGAAGGTGGCTGAAGAGCGCACGGAGATGGCTTCCGGACGGGCCACGAGCGCTCGAAGACAGCCCAAGACTGCTCCTAGATGGCCACACAGGCACCCAAGGCGGTCCAAGAGGCCGCCGAGAAGACCCTCCAAGGGCAAACATCTTGCAATTCCTATGGAAAAATGTACATTTCTGGGAGCTTCGCTTTTCAGTTCTACCAGCGGTCGCGACGGCCCAAGAGACTACCAAAATGGGCCCCGGACGGCCCCAGAGGCCCCAAAGGGTTCCAAGATGGGCTGAAGAAAGCTTCGAGCAGCACGCTCCATCACGGCCCAAGAGAGTACCCAAGAATCCCGATGGAGCCACCGGAGCATCCCTGCATGGTCGGACAGGCCCCCCCGAGGGCCCCAAGACGGGCTCAGGTCCCCATGACGGGCGAAGAGCGAAGAGGGACCAGGAACGGCTGAATTGGGCTCCCAGAGGGTCCCAAAAAGACCTACCAGGACTCCCTGAAGATGGTCCAGGAGGCCGCTGAGAAGGCTCCCGGGTGCAAAAAGCAATAATTTCCAATTGAAAAACGTACATTTATATGAGATTCGCTTCTTATATCCCATCAGCGGCCACGTCGGCCCAACGGCTGCCCAAATCGGCGCCACACAGTCCACGAGGCTCCCAAGAAGGCTCCAAGACAGCCTCAAGAGAGCGTCGAGCAGCACAAGAGAGCTCCAAAACAGACCAAGAGAGTTCCCAGGGGGCCCGAGAGAGCCACCAGAGGATCCTTACATGATCGGAGAGGGCTCCATGAGGACCCCAAAACGGTTCAGCTACCCATGACATGCCAAGAGGGGCTTGGGACAGCCGAAATGGGCTCCCAGACGGGTCACAGAAGGCCCAAAAGGACCTCCCCACGACTGTCCAAGAGGCCGCTGGGAAGGCCCTCCACAGGCAAAATCAAGCATTTCCGATGGAACAAATACATATGTCTGGAAGTTTCGCTCTTCAGTTCTACCAGCGGTCGCGACGGCCCAAGAGGTTATCAAAATGGGGCCCAGACGGCCCCAGAGGCTTCAAAAAGGGTTCCACGATGGGCTGAAGAGAGCTTCGAGCGGCACAGAAGAGCTACAAGACGGCCCAAGCGAGCTCCCAGGAAACCCGAGGGGGCCACCAGAGGATTCCTACATGGTCGGAGAGGGCCCCAGGAGGGCCAGGACAGGGACCGATAACGCCGGGGGTGGGTGGAGTCTATTCTGTTTTCAGAAAACAGAATATTCGCGGCACAATTTACTCGATGCAAGTCATTTCTGTTTGCAGTGGGCCGTCAACTCCCATGCTCTTGCAAACGCCCCGCCCGCCCGCCCGCAACATGGTTTGCACAGCCCACGCGGTGGCGATGGCGATGCACGCTCGGCGTTGGCTGGTGCATCTCTGCGGCCGCGCCAACCCCAGCACGCGCGCGCAGCGGCCAGCTAGTTTGGCGCCGCCGACGCGGCCGCGGCGGCGCTGACCGCTGGGCGCATCCCAGCGAGCACGGGCGCAGTATCATGGCAACGCCGACTGCGGTAGACGCGACGATGATGGTGACGATGATGGTGGCGATGTTCGCACCGACGAAGGCGCGGCCAGCGCGGGCGCCGATGCTGATCACGCCGACGACGATGACGGCCCCCTCGCGTCGGTGATGAAGGTTTTGGAAACAGTTCGGCGCGCGCGCGGCCGACCCGCGCGAAAGTGGCCCGCTCGGTTTTATTTGGCACACATCGTGCCTCCCCCAGCACGCGTGCAAGGGCGCGCGAATGCTGTCGGCATGCGGCGCCCGAAATCCGCTTGGCAGAATTCATTGAAAATATTGGGAAACCCATGGTTTCCTAAAGAGCTCGCAAGAGCGCGCGCAAACTTTCTCTGACAACTGATGCTGCAAAACCATGTGTTTTTGAATGTTGTTTGAATGTTCGGTTTTGACATCGTTCCGAAACCGACAGTCGCTGAAAGATTCTGGCATGCGCGCGCAACGACGCGCGCGCTCGCTTGGTCCCACTTGTTGCTAAGGACGGCGCGCGCGCGAAGGCGTTCGAACGATTTCGTCACGCGCGCGCGAAGCCCGTTTGGTCGCATTTTCTGAACCTGTTGAACGCCCTATAGTTTTCTCAGGAATTCGCCAGAGCGCGCGCGCACATTGTTCTGTTTGAAAATTCGCGTTGCGAAACCATGTGCTTTTTTATACTTGGTTTGGACACTCGATTACGAAATCCTTCCGAAACCGGAGGATTTAGAAGGATTTCGGCACGCGCGCACGACGACGCGCGCGCGTGCACTTCGTCCCGTTTCTTGCAAGGACACTTCTGATTTTGGGTGAACGAGTGCGCGCGCGCCGGAAATTTTTGCAGAGGATGGCGGGGGGGGGGGTCGATGCTGGTTGGGATGGTATGAATTCATAGTCAGAATGAACGATTGGGCAGAACCATATGAAAATTGCAATGCGGAACAAGGCGGGCCGATCAACCCAGGGGTGGTGGTAGTAGAACCTGTTCTTTTTTAGACATGAGACGAAGCGCGCAAGCACTTCTCCTCATTTTCTGCAGAAGGGATTCTCGCGACGGCGCGCGCGCAAGGGCGTTCGAACGATTTCAGAATGGGCGCGCCAAGCCCGTTTGGTGGCATTTTTGTTTTGACAATGTTGAAGGCCCGATGGTTTTCTTAAGAATTCGCGAGAGCGCGCGCACGCTGGTTTTGCTTGGAAATCCGCGTCGCGAAACCATTTGTTTTTACACGTTTTTGGGGCACTCGTTTTTTGAGTTCTTTCCGAAACCAAAGGTTTTTGGCATGCGCGCGCGACGACGCTCGCGCGTGCACTTCGTCAAGTTTTTCACGGGATCTATGAAAACTGATAACTTTTGAGAAACGAGTGTGCGCGATCATTTTTTGAGATAGTGGCGGGGGGGAGTCGGTGCCGGCTCGGCTGGGATGGTGTGAGTTCATATTTCGGATGGGCGATGGGGCAGAATCGCATGTCGATTGCATTGCGAAAAGGTGGGTTGATAAACCCCGGGCGGGGCGGTGGTGGAGTCTATGTTTTTTCTTTTGCGGGGGGCTCTATGTCGGGGCGGCGACGGCGGCGACGCAGCCGCCAGGCCGACGGGCAGGCGGGCAATTTCTGGAGCCCAGAGGCGGCGTCGGCGCGTGGGCGAGACGCTGGCATCTGGAGACAGCTGCATGCCGCAGCAGCAGCTCGGGCCATGCCCCCGCCACGGTTCAGGCGGGCCCCTGCCCGTCGCTCGCCGGGGCAGGCGCTGGAGGAGGGTATCAGGCAACTGGCCTGGCTGGACAACTGCTCGGCGGATATCTTTGCCAACTTGGGGGCGGCAGAGATCAAACTGCCCAATGGCGCCGCCGAGGCGATCCACGCGGAGCTGCAGCGGGCGCTGGTCACCGCAGACTACGTCGGCTGGGCGGCGGCCAGGATTTGTCAAGTCGACCCGTGGAGGCCGCCGGGCGAGGGCGGGAAGCTCATGCGGAAGGCGGAGCCGAAACTCTTTCCAGGTCCGCAGCTCGGCCTCACACGCCACGAGTACCAGACGGCGGGGGTCGACGGGGCCCAGTGCATCCGCTTTGGGGCGGAAGCCTACGCGGGCAAGGCTCGGACTCTCCTGGACTGCAGGCCGCGCGCGCCCTCGCGCCTCGGCCAGATGCGAGCGGCAAAGAGCCAGAGCGCTGCTGGAGCGCAGCTGCTGGTGGGCTCTGAAGCGGTCAACCCGGCAGCGCAGGAGCACCTCCAGGCAGCGGCGCCGACGGGTCGGGAAGGCGTGGCAGGGCGGGCACCGTCGGAGGCCTCCGCTGAGGGGGTGCCGCCAGCAGAGGCCGGCGTCCTTGGAGGAGAAGGTGCAGTACCTCCTGGCAGCCGCCAAGGGGCCTGCATCGCGTGGAGCTGCTCAAGCAATGTACGCGGGCGCCTCCATTTCAGCGCGCCCCCCCCCCCCCCCCCCCCCTCAGCAGCGGGCAATGCCAAATTTGCCGTGCAGGCGTGGGGGGGCTCAGGCGACCTGGAGGACGTCCTCACGCAGCTGGCGTCTTGGTGGATCACGGACTTGCAGGGCCAGAGCCACGCGTATGCGTGCTGGCTGCAGGAGGGCGTGAACTACGTGTCCAGGCTGCTCGGTGCACCTGCGTTCAGCGGGTTCTTCCGCTACGTCAGCGCGGACAGGCTGGGCGCTGAGAAGCCGCGGAAGGCCGAGGAGTTTTGCGAGCGGGGCTGGCATGATGACGCCCCCTTCCGCGAGGCCCACATCGATCAAGCCCTGCAGTTGGAGGGTGAGGCGCTCGGGGTGCGGCTGCGCCAGTTCCGCGGCTACGTGGTGGCAGGGCGGGCCTTCCTCTGTGATCGCGGCAATGCCTGCCGCGCGGGGGCAGGCCGCCAGCGCTTGGGCGGCCGCCGACGACGAGATGGAGCTCTTCAGGGGCCTGCAAGCGTCGGCCTTCGAGGCCAGGCGCGCGCGCAGGAGGCAGGGCGCAGCCGCCAGCAGCGGGGGCGAGGCCAAGCGGAACCGCTCCCGCGCGCCCCCACCTGGCAGAGGCGGGGGGCCCGCGGTACGGACGCATCAAGGCGGCCCGCCACAGCCGAGGCCGCGGCCTGGCGCAGATGACGAAGGCTCCCAACCGCCGCAAGCGCTTGGCGGGGACGGCGGCGGGGCCAGCGGGGAGGGGGGGGGATCGCCCCCCCTTTCCCCCTCCCCCAGCAGCAGCTCCGCGTCGGTGCCCCTGCGCGCGACGCTCCAGGGCTTGCAGCTGCTGGGGCGAACCGTCATGGTCTTTGCGGGGGATTGGATCTTCGACAGGAGGGACCCCGACGGCGCGGAGAGCAGCTGGCGGGCCTGGGCAGCGAGGTTTGTCGTGACGTGGCTGAGGCAACCCGCCAATGCAGCTGCCTACCAGATGGCGGCCCAGGGGGTGGGCTCGGTCGGGGTCCAGGCGACGGTCAAGGAGATGGTCGAGCAGGCGTGGCAACGCAAGGTCAGCGTGCGGCAGGCGGCGTACAGGCACCTGCTGGACCTGCCTTTCCCCGCATGGCACCACGTGGTGGCGATGTTGTGGGCGTCCATTGATGAGGTGGCGAGGGCGATCGAGGCCCTGATCGGACCGACTGCAATGGCCCAGCTGCCCGTGCTGCCTGGCTTCGCGGGGCCCCTGCCCGACGGCGGGCCGCCAGGCGCGCTGTCGCCGCCTAGAACGGCCATGCTCCCGCTGGCCGTGGCGTGGCCCCCAGCCCTCGACCAGGCCATAGGAGCCATGGCGAGTCAAGGACAAGGTCACGGCCGCCCTCGGCTCCCCCGCCTGCAGCAGCTGGGGTTGGCGGACTTCGACAGTGATGGCGACGGCCCCGACCCGGGCGCGGCGCCGTCGGGCTTGCTGCCGCCGCCGCCAGCGGGGCCCCCTCGAGGCTGGCGATGCAGAGGACAGGCTGCCTGGTGTGAGGGGCGGCGCGGGCCCCGTGCATGCGCCTGCCGACGACGCCTCGTGGCGCGCGGGAAGCGGGGCCGAGGGGCCCGGCTCGGGCGCGTCGCAAGGCGTGGGCTCCAGCGGCGCGGCAGCTGCTACCAGCGGCGCGGTGGTGGGCGGCCATGAGGCGGAGGCGGACATCAATGGCCCCCCGCAGTGGGCACAGGTAGGGCTGCGCACGCCCGAGGCCGAGGGAGGGGCCGCCCAGGGCGGGGACCAGCCACCCCCCCCAGTCGCGGCGGCGGCGCAGGCGGCGTTGGCCACCCCAGTGGCAGCGGCCTGCGTGCTGGCGGCGGCCGCTGCAGCCACGTCGCCGCCAGGCCCCAGCGGTGCCTCAGACGGGGCGGGCCCCCCCCCCGCGGCCGCGCGGCGCTCGCGTAGCCCCCGGCGGCGGCAGGCTGGCAGGGCGCCGCAGAGCGAGATCGCCGTGCCCAGCACCGTCCTCGGCCACGGCGTGCGGGAGGCGGGGCAGCATGCCTTTTGCTGCAGATGCGGGGCCTTCGCCGAGCTGCAGGGGGCAGACCGCGTCAAGGGTCTGAAGAAGAGCTGCGGCGGCCGCATCCCGCAGGGCACGCTGGTCATTGCGGGGCAGAAGAAGAAGCGCCTGTGCCTGGGCCGTCTGCTCGGCAGGTGCGACCCCTACACGGGGAAGCTGCTCGGCTGACGCCGTCGGCGGCTCCCGCCGCGCGGCCGTGGGCCACTGTGGTGCGCAAGGCGTGCCGCCCTGTTCACCTGGGACAGCGTCTCTTCGGCGGCCTCCCCGGACGCTGGCGCACTCGGGAAAGTTCGTTTGATCACCCAAGAGGCTGCGCAGATGTTACCAGAAAGCTGGTGCAGGTATCTTGACCTAGTCGTCTCCTTAATCGCATCCTTGGCTGTACCTCGTTCCTCCGACTGCACTCCTGCAGTGAGGCGGCTGGTGCAGGCACGCTCCAGCGCCACACGGCGCAAAGCGTCCTGAGGGAGAGACAGCAATTCTGAATTGCCAGCGCTGGTAATGCGTTAGGTCTTGCCAGGAAAAAATTGAAGAACTCTTGCCTGCTATCCCCTGGGGGTGCCCTAGTAAGGAGGAAGCGCCGATGTAAAGCACGGGCGCGCTGGCTATGCCATGCCTCCCTGGGGAGGTTTGTGCTGATATGTTCACCCCCATCCGCCCGGTTAGTCATCCTCAGGAAGAGCATCCCCGGGATGTGGCGGCGGCGTTGGTTCTTGCGTATGTTGGTCAAAGCCGCTACCCGCTCACCATCCTGTGACAAGTCCTATAGTGGAATGGGCGACCTCATGGGGCAGGAGGCGGTGGCTGGCCCCCATGGCCCAGGCCTCAGACGTTCTGACATGCGACATTTGTTTGTGTAAGAAGTGCGCGGTCCCCAGAAGTCCCAACCCTTTCCCCAGGGCCAGGTTCTCAGTCTGAATCGTTTTTTGACGGTCTTGGGGCCCAGCAGGAACCCTGGCCGCAAATGACAAAAACCTTCGGTCGTGACTTCCCAATTGCGTTTCACTATGATGGGTTCTAGTGGAGGTACAACAGCAACACACAGAAGACCCACAAGGGGGAACAGGGAGCCCTGGGGCACCTTTCCCGGACAGCTGTTTCGCTTGAGATTTCCTCGCGATTCATTCCGGAATCGTGCTCTCGCCTCGATGCTGGCTACATTTTTGCTCCGGACGGCCACGGCCCCCGGCAAATATATACTAAGGTACTGAGGTGCACATGGCCGTGCTGTCACCCTCTGCAGCGTTCCTAGGCATCCCTCGGCATATTTTCCAATGCGCGTCCCTCACGTTGGCTGCTATCAGGATGGTTCGCTGGGATATCTATTGACGGCGCGGGCATGTCTGGGGAATGCGAGCCTTGGAGCTCTCGACCCCTTCTGCTGTTTGGATCTCTCAAGCTCTTCGCCGCCTCAAGCGGTGCACGTTCAGAGCAGGAACGCAGCCAAGCCACAGGAAAGCGTGGCATTGACAGCGTAGCTCCGCGCGCGTGCCAGATGCGCTAGCGAGCCAGGGCACAGCAGAGGCCACAGGACAGCGAGGTATTCACAGTGTCGCTCAGCACCAACACCGTGGCCAGGGATCCCCCAAGGCCGACTGCTCGCCGCGGGTGTTTCTGGTGAGGGCCCCTGGCAACGACGGCCCCTGGGACGCCACGCGGCTGCGGAGCCAGAGGTCCAGACGGCCCAGTGGGCTCGCCGCGGCTGGGCGGGCCCGCAGGACGTGGCCCGAGCGCTGCTGGCGACCCTGCGCGCCGACGCGCCCGGCGGCGCCGACGCCACCGCGCCGCGCACGTCGTACCAGCTGCGGCCCCTCGAGGGGTGCCCTGAGATCTTACGTCGACCCAGAGGCCCATGGTCTCGATTCTTTCTCGGTCCGGTCCGATCTGTGAGGGCCCGGGGCCAGAACTCAAGCGAAAGCGCGCGGTCTGGAACAGATCCCCAGACAGGCATGCGATGTTCTGATTTTCTTAATGCGTGGTCCCCCGAAGTCCCAGCCCTTTGCCCAGGGCCGTTGTTGCATCCCGGGTCGCTTTTCGACGGTCCCGCGGCCCAGCGAGGCCCCCCAGGGGCCGAACATCGAGAACGCATTATAGCCGCCGTTGATTTCTCCACGGTGCGAGCATGTCTGGGTCGGCGCCCAGATCGCGAGGTGCGTCGGCTGCGCGGCGCTGCTGCTCGTCGGGGTGCCGCTGCGGCGCCCCGGCGGCGCCGCGGCGCGGCCCGCCGCCGAGGCCGCTGCGGAGGCCGCAGAGAGCGGGCCGCCGCAGCCGCTGGCCGCCGCCCTCGGCGCCGCCGACCGCGTGGCCGACGCCTTCGACCTGCTGGCCACAGCGGCGCGCGGCGGGGCCGGCGACTGCCACCGCCTGGAGGCGCTGGCGTTCCCGGCCGCGGCCCTCGCGCTGCTGCGGCTGGCAACGGAGCTGGCCATCAGAGGGGGAAAAGGTACCCATAGCGCTACCCTTCCCTCGCCCTCGTATTTTTTGGGCCTCCATGGGGTGCCCTCGTCTCCACCGCTGGAGTCTCCTCGAAATCCTGGCCAGAACGCACCCCGCGAGCACCCCGCGAGAGATCCGGGGAGCAGCAGTATTGGCAGCTCTTCGCCCCCTCAGGCCAGGGCGGAGCCAGCCCGGGGCGGCGCTGCCGCGCTGGCGCACCGCGCCGCGTCGGCGGCGCGGAGGTTCGCGGCCCTGGACGCCGCGCAGTGCCGCCCGGAGCCGCAGCCCCTGTTCGCGTGCCTGCCGCGCTCCGAGGAGCTGCTCGTGCGCGTGGAGCACCTCTGCGGCTGGCTCGCGCCGCTGGCGGGCGCGGCCGCGGCCGAGGAGACGCGGGCCGGCGGCGACGCTTCTGGGCCGCAAGAGCGCGGCCTGCTCAAGTTGGAGGGGTGGCTGGAGGCCCCGGGCGACGAGATCTACACATGGGCGCCGGCCGAAAGTTCGGTCGATGAGAATCGCATATATACATATACATATACATATACATATATATATATATATATATATATATAGATTCGGGGGAACGCGCCGATTCGGGCCAGACCAGGGGCCCCAGAGGGGCCCCCCTCCCCGTGTTCCCAGTTCTCGCCCCTCCGCACAGCGCCGACGTCGAGAACATACGGCCGCGCACATACAGATCCACCGCCCCTGGCCAGGCCCACCCTGCCTCCCCTGCCCAGCCAGGAAAGGGTGTGCCCAGCCCTGCCATGTCTTGGCTGTTTCAGTACGCGACCCCCGGAAGTCGTGACCCTTTCCCCAGGGCGTGTATTACAACCCGAGTTGTCTTTGGGTGGTGCCCAAGCCTGGCGAGGGCCCTCAGAGGCCGAAGTCTGAAAAAGCATCAGTCAGCTCCTGGTCCCAGGATTTGCCTGGCCAGGGAGATGCGTCTTTTATTTGTTGTTGTTTTTGTATCCTCGGGCGCGTGACGGTCGTTACTCGCCCCCTCCCCCCCCTCCCCCGCATACCCAAGTAACTAACGATTCCCACAATGCCCAGGCCGCCCCCACATGCTGGTGCTCGCCCACATACACTGGCGATCGCAGCGCGCCCCCGCCCTGACGTGCCCCGCACCGCCCAAGCGTTGTCGTTACCCAGCCCCCCCCTCTGGATCACGACCGTCTTTCCTTCATCCCTTACGAAGTGTTCTGCAGCTGCTCGTCCACGACGGCCGGTCGTGGTGTTAACCCTGACGCTGTGAATGGCCACCGCACCGCGGCGTTCAACCCAGAAGGTGGCAGCTGCTTCTGGAGCTGCTTGCCGATGTACCGATGTAGGTTATAGAACGGGTAGCGACAGCTACCCGAAATATCAAATATACAACCTCAGCGGCGGTGGACACATACGTGCAGATGAGGCGGTCCAGAAAGGGCCCGACCACGCGCAGAGGGGGCAGGGGGAGGAGGGAAGGCTTCTTAGAAGCGCCCCTACATTGTAGAAGGCGCGGGCCTTGTCTGTAGATGTAGGGCCTTCTGGGAAGCAGTCTCCTTCTAAGAAGCCTTCCCCCCTTCCCCTACCCCCTTTTGCGCGTGGCTAGAAAGGCCGCGGCTCCGAGGATCGAAGAAGTTTCCATCTCTTCCTCGGCGGAAGGGGGGCGGAAGCCCGCGGAAGGGCATCGAGGCCGCCTCCGCTGGTTGAAGCTGGCGGTTAAGGCTTGTGGAAGCTGGCGTAATTACAAAATGCGCCTCCAAGATGTGACGACCCAGAAATGCGACGTCTTATTGTTTGGATACGCGGCCCCTGGAAGTCCCGATCCTTCCCCAGGGCCGGTTTTTCATCCCCAGTCGTTTTCTGACGGTCCCGGGGCCCAGCGAAGGCCCCCAGAGGCCGAAAGTTGCCAAGCACTTCCTGTCGTGTTTTCTGTTCCAGGACGCCGACTTGTCTGGATCGGGCGACGCAATCTGTGCATATCCACTGCCCCCTGGCCAGGCCTTTCCTGGGCCCAGGAGCGGTGTGTACGACTCCTGGCCAGAGGAGGTGGCCTATACAGTGCTGCTGGGTTCGGGATGGGCCTGGCCAGGGAGCAGTGGATCTGCCTAGCTTTCGTCGCCCAGCTGGAGGCATTCTTGTGCTCCGCGCTTCTGTCGGGGGAGCGTAAGACCCGGGTTTGCCAGGACTCGGGTTCGTCATCGTTTTTTGACGACCGCGCCCCGGATCTTGACGAGGAGGAGTTCCGTGGGATATCTGCAGCGGGAGGCCTCGGCAAAATGCAGGCTCGGCCTCGTCATTTTTTGAACGACCTCGTCGGGGATTTCCGAGTCCCCCGTACCCGGGTCTTACGTCTCCCCGACAGCTGGAGGCATTCTTGTGCTCCGCGCTTCTGGAGCCCGCCACGGCCCGCTCTTTGCCGCCCCCTCTGCCCGGAGGCCTCGGGCCGCGAGCGGGCCTCGGCCGCCCTCGCGCTGCTCGCCGCGAGGCTCGGCGCGCCTTCGGAGACGGTCGTGGGCACCACCCAAACCGTCCGTCACGGCTCGGGCGGCCCAGGGCTCGTTTCGAATCCTCCGATTCGATTCGATTCGACTCCGATGGATTCCGATTCCGATTCGATTCGATTTCGGATTCCGATTTGGGCTCCGATTTCTTATTGGAGGCATACTAGCCTGCCGATTTCTGCCGATTCGACTTTTCCCGACCCGGCCGCCGATTTCTGCCGATCCGATTCATTACGATCGCCGATC